AAAAGACTTTTTGGCTGATATAAGATTTTAAAACTTGGTTAGGTGGACAGTTTTTGCAGTGTGGAAGTCAATGCCAGGTCCTCATAAAGATAGCTGTACCAGATTGTGTATGTGTGTTTGTGTGTGGTATGTAATCTGTCTGTAGAGCTGCTGCCTTGTGGCACAGTGAGTTTCCTGTAAACAGAGAAGTCCTGCTGCTGATGAGATGACAGCACACATAAAATTACTCAGAGTTTTTATTTGAGCGCCGAGCCGTGAACCATTTGGCTCAGGTCCAGATAACATCAGAGTGTGTTTCTGAGGTATTTCCGCTCGTCTCAGACACAGGTACAGGATAATCCTGTTGCTTCATGAGCTGCCACCTCTCTGTCTTCAAGTCACATTTATCAAAACTCTTTAAACTGTTTAAAAGATGAAAAACAAACTTCTGTTTCAACAAAACACCTAAAGCTCTTCAAAGCAGGGGGTCTTTGTTTACTACACTACATAATCCCTTGCCTTGTTAAATAATTAGTTGTTAGATTAACTGGATTAGTTGGCTTTAGGTGCTGTTGAAACCCACTAATCCACCAGAAGTATTATTATTGAGGGAAGGTAGGAAATCTGTATCTCCTGCTGCCAAAAGGTGAAAGTAAATGAAGTTTGGTATTCATGTGTCTGTTACAAAAATAACTCAAAGCACAGGACATATTTTAATAAAACTTGAAATATTCAGTTTGTTTTAAATGTATGTTTAGCAACTTGGCTGATAAAATGTACGTGTAACAGTTTTAACTGAATCAAAAAGAAAAAAATCAGTAGGTCCTCTGGAGGGTTCTTCTTTAGTGAAACGTTTCGTCTCTCCTCCAAGAGACTTCTTCAGTCTGATGAGTTTCAGGTGAACTCAGCCTTATAAGCTCCGCCTTCACATGGACAAACAGGTTGGTCACATGCAAAAGAGGACCATCGACTAACAATAGGGTTGATTAGCTCTATTGTTCATAGAGGGTCATGTGCTCCATCACCTGACCTGTGTCGTGTTATGTGAATGTAGTGAATGCAAGCAGGGTTTTTTTAACATCCCCTTGTTTTCCAAATGTTGTGGGTGTTCCAGGGAAACTGAGACGTTTATTGTCTAAACATGACGTCCCAGTGGCTTTCAAACCCCAAAACACTTTACGACAAAGATTAGTTCACCCCAAAGATCCAGTTCCC